AGAGAGAGAGAGAGAGAGAGAGAGAGAGAAAGCATGAGCAGGGGGAGTGGGAGAGGGAGAAGCAGGCTTCCCGCGGAGCAGGGAGCCCGATGTGGGGCTCGATCCCAGGACCGTGGGATCACGACCTGAGCCGAAGGCAGACGCTTAACGACTGAGCCACCCAGGCGCCCCTTGTATACATTATTTTAAATGATCGAGGTACAATTTACATACAGAAAGGTCCACCTAGGTGGAAGGTCCAGTGACTTCTCACAAACCCCGGCCCGGGCTCCCAGCACGCTGACATCTGTCCGCGCAGACGCCGTCGCGGGCGTCTGTACTTCATGTAGCGCGGGGCCCACGTGGTGCCGTCTGTGTGTCGGCTTCCCTGGCTGACACGGCGCCTGTCGCTACATGTAAGCAGCAGATTGTTCATCCTCGTGGTCGTGCCGTATTGATTGAAGGAAGCTCAGATACTCCCTGGGCCCCATTGTGTCCACTCAGGGAGAGGGAAAGTTCATTTTTCAGACAAGCGGTGAGGAGACCAGTTTCCCAAAGGCCGAGTACGTGTGGCTCGCTGGTGACGCCCAGGCCTCTTTCCCTTTCGGGGCCCGAAGCAGGGGCCAGGGGGAGGTGAAAGGGAACGTCATGTGATCAAGCCACAGCATCATGACTGTCCTAAAATAGAGACCCACAGGGCTGTGGCTAAGAGCTCCTAGGCTCTGAGGTCAGCCTGCCTGGGTGGCGCCAACATCTCCGGCACACCTCAGCCCTGTGGCCCTGGGCTAGTTGCTTACCCTCTCTGAGGCCAGCTTCCTTCTCAGTGAGAATGCAGTGAACGAGGGCACCTGCCCACTGGGGGGCTGTTTGTGTGGGTGATAGGAGGGGACCCGTGTGAACGCTGACCTCAGGGCCGGCAACGGGCACTGCAGTGGGTGGCGTTACTATGGTGATTGGCCTGGCCGGAAACGGGCCAACTTTTGTGCTGTTTCTCAGTTGATGGGTGGCATCCAGGAGCGTCAACAGCGAGTGACTTAGGGACTGCCCTTAAATTTTGGAGTAAGAACAGATGGAAGCATGTACTGGCCCTCGCTGTGTTTCTCTGTCCTTGGATCCTTTCAGGGACACCTGCTTTCCCCCAGGTCAGCGAGGAGGGAAGAGATTGCATGAGAATATCCGTGGGAAAGCGGACTCGTGGCCATTCCAAGTTTACTGGGAGTCCTGAGGCCAAACAGTGAACTTTGAGGGACATTTGGGGACACCTGGGGGGGAGGGAAAGCCAGGACACAGACCCTGCCAGCGATTCTGACCTCGGTCCTTTGCTGGTGTTCTGGAGGCACTGCCCTTGTGCTAGGTGAGCTGACGGCCTGTCGGGTAAAGGAGAGCCTTGACTGCTGACTCGAGCAGGCCGCATAGCCCTAGCCAGGGTCACTTTGCTGCCCAGGAAAAGGTTCTTTTGTGGGACGCCGGTATAAAGGGCATTGCAGATTTTCAGGAGAGCTAGGCTCTTCTTCAGGCAACCACTTCCCTCCCTGCTTTCCCAGTGGATGTGAACTTCATGTCTGTCAAAGCAAGAGGTTTCAAGAAGGTGGCCCACGCGTTGGCAGAAATGTGTGGTTTACCCTGAACTGTTTAAAAATGTTTTCATGTTGAGACAACTGGGTAACCATCTGGAAAAAATAAAGCGAGTTCCATACCTCACTCTGTACACCAGGAACATTTCCAAAATTCCAAATGGATTAAGGACGAGTTAGATGTATAAAATGAATTCATATAAGAAGGCAGAAACATTGGAGAATCATTCAACATCCAGAAGCCTTAAAGATACATTTGATTATATATAAAAAAGTTAAATCCTCCGAATGGCAAAAACAAACCGAAAACTCAACCAAAAAAAAAAAAAAATCCAAACAAAACAAGAAATCCTAGGCAAATTCGAAAGACAAATGACCAAAAAGACAAGTGATAAATTGGGAAAGATCTATGTGCAGCCCATTTTACAAAGGGATAATCTCCCTAATATATAAACAGCTCCTACAATAAATAAGAGACAAAGTAGAAAAATGGGCAAAGGATATGAACAGGCATCTCACAGAAAAGAAAATGTAAAAGGCATTTTAAACACATGAAAAGATAATCTCTACCACTAAGTATGAAAGAATATCGAAATTCCTCTCTTTTCACTATGTGAGGCTGGCAAACATGAAATGTTTTTGATGACACTGTCAGTGAAGTTCTGAAACAAATGTTCTCATGCATTGCTAGTGAGGTACCATGCTTGTGGAGGCCCGTGGGCAGTACCTATCCGAATTAGAAATGTTTATGCCTTTGGACCTAGTAATTCTACCTCTAGGGGTCTCGCCTCCCAGTAGACACAGGAGGGAAATGATAAATGCAAACGGTGATTCTCCACATGTTGAAATAACCCAAGACTGGAAGGCACCTAAATGTCCACCAGTGATGGGATTGGTTCAGTTCTAGTATGTCCACACACACACACAAAGGTGGATGGAATCCTATGAAGTTGTAAAAATGGATTAGGAGTTCCTTATGAGCTGGAATGGAAATGTCACTAGCATATGAAAAAGCCAAGGTGCGGAGAAATGCACACAATATCCTACCATCTGTGTGAGAAAGGAATTAACACTCCATGGAAGGATACACAAAAATTCGAGCACGGTGAATCCCTGTCTTGGGTGAGAAGTCGACTGTTCATGTTTCAGGTTTTTTTTTTTATACTTTTTGGTATTTTGGTGTTTACCTCTTCAAAAAAAGTAACCAAAACCAGTTGCCAGCCATTAAAAATGAGGGCAGTCCACAGAAAGAACTGGATTTCCAGCTTCTCTTCAAAAACTGGAACATCAGGTACTACTACTGGGCTCACATTGTGGCCGGGAACGATGAGCTAAAGCCGAGTTGCTTTAGAGGGCCGTGCTCTTCCAGGTTTCTCTTGTACCCCAGCTGTTTTGCTAATTTATTTATCTGCCTGGCCCCTGTGGGCATTTGGCATTTGAGAGCCTTAGAACCAGAGGCCCTTAGACCATGGAGAATTTATTCCAAGGATATGGGGTATGTGAAGAAATGCAGCTGGGGGTAAGCGACGGCTTCCTGGCCATTATGTGTAGTTAGCATCTGGCCTGCCCGCAAGCATCTCTGTGCCCCGATTCCAAATTCCCTGGGGACAAGGGGGTTCGGTCTTACTACAGAAGTGTGTGCTTCCCATGGCCCTCCTTTTGGAAGTGACTGATTCCAAGTCAGATGAAGACCTAAGAAAACTAGCGACCAGTATCCCTCGCGAATACAGATGCAAAAGTTCTCAGCAAAATATTAGCAGACTGAATCCAGCAACGTAGAAAATGGATTATACTCCATGACCAAGTGGGATCTCTCCTAGGAATGCAAGGTCGGTTTAACATCTGAAAATCAATCATTGTAACACACTGTATTAATAAAGGTCAAAAACCACACAATCATTTCCACAGATGCAAAGCATCTGCCAAAATCAAACATCTATTTGTGATAAAAGCTCTCCTTCTTGGGGCATAAAGGGGAGTTCTCAAAGAGCAGGGTTAGAGGCTGAGTAGATACCCCCAAAGGTGTTTACTGATAGGATTACCAACTCTCTGGAGATGATTTGTTGACCCAGGAAGCTGGAGGCAGCAGGGCATTTTCCTCCCCATCTTAAAGCAAAATCCCACTTAATTTTTTTTTTTTCTCCTTCTGCAGAGAGCTTTATTGTTTCCAATTGGTTCACAGCTTGAATGAGGGCTGAAAAAATTGCTTAAAGAGCTGCCTGGTGGGGGCACCTGGCTGACTCATTTGGTAAAGCATGCCACTCTTGATCTTGGGGTCGTGAGTTCAAGCCCCATGTTGGGTGTAGAAGTTACTTAGAAAGCTGCCTAGTGGAGGTAGAGAGAGGCTCAGGCAGAAGCTCTGATACCAGGGGGTGGCAGAGGGGCACTCAAAGGCGGCTGGGCTCTGGGAGGCTCCTAGATGTGCTTGGCCCTCTTCGTCTTTTGCTCAAGAGCACAGCCGTCTTTGGCTTTGGAAGAACTCAAAGCAATTCTGACTCGGGGC